CGTCTCTGAAAAGAATGCGTATCTTGGGCCTTGCCATTCCATTTTGCCCAGTCTTCGTCTACCTGCGGAGAGTACGCACGGTTGAATTGCATTCTTTACACAATTTTATATTATATAAAAAAGATAACTTCAGCTCGTGAGATTTATTGCCTTTTTCTTCGAAGTTCTGAACCAAATCTGCTAGCTGCTAAGCCTCAGCTGATAGCTGCCCTGGAGACATTGAGACTCCTGCTTGCCACATCTCAATTTCCAGACAAATCAGATATACGAAGATTAACACCTTTTGTAACGGTTTGGATGGATTTAACTCTGATGCTCTGTCCCTATTCCTTAAACCCCCCTTTGAGAATTTTGTCTACACAGTATCTAAACATACATGTTAAGGAATGGTTTTTCATCTAGCACTTTTTCATTTAATGGGAGCCAGGGAGAATTAGGGGCAGGAGGGGCATTCATAGACTCATTAGTTTCACCGGGTTTTGCCTTCACCTTTCTAGTTACATACATAAAGAGATCTGAAGCTTAGAGTTTTAATGACTTACTATGGGCTAGACAGGAACCAATCAATGTATGCAGCTCTTGACTTTGTAATCATCTGGAATAGTCATAATTGACTTTTGAGGAGTAAATGTTATGTATCTTCTGTTTGATCCCTACCAAAATATGTCACAATAGTCGATTTTGAGTTAGTACAGTGTATCTTAGTTAATATCTAAAAGATACCCGTGTTGTTCTTTTTTTTTTTTCTCTAAACCTGAGTATCAGTACATTAGTGTATATAGCAAAGCAAAATTTTGTAATTTGCTCAGGATTTTTAAAAGTCTCAGTTAAACGGACCACCTGAAAACTGAATGAGCATCAACTCTCTTTAGCATATTTACAAAACAACAAAAACGTAGTGGTTTCCAATTCTAATAGGCACAGGAGCCAGCCAGAATAACAGAAATGAGTGTAGCTGTCAGATTATAAGGCACAATAAGATGATGTGGGCTGTACCAAGTCAATAAGGATATGTGCCATTTAAAGGGAACAGAATGTGCTACAAAGCATCAGGTGATGGCTGTCCTGATAGACATTTGAATCCTTGTTTCCACATCTATATCAAAGACAAACCAGAAATGTGTAGTCTGTATATAAACTCAGTTCCAAAATGTTAGCATTTGTTAAGCTGAAGAGTAAGAAATTCCAATTTTTATAGATTTAGAAACTGCACTATATTGGCATTTTCATACTTATACATGTTTTAAAAAACTTTAACATTAGGCTTGCTAAATAGAACATATCTTGGCTGGGGATATAAATCAATGTTAGAGCATTTACTTAGCATACATGGCTCCCTGTGTTTGACCCCTCACCACTGCAAAGAAAATAAAGACTTACTTAAACAAAATATATCTGCACTGACAACTAAATTTTGATCTAGGTAATCTGTCATTGAGTATTGTTTTTTTTTGGGGGGGGAGTGTACTGGGGTTCGAACTCAGGCCCTTGCACTTGCCAGGCAGGCTGTGGAACCACTGAGCCAAATCCCCGGCCCTGTCATTGAGTATTGAGACTAATTGGGATTTACTGATATCCTCTTCCATTCTTTCACTACTTTTTAGTGCTGCCACTGAGAAGATGACAATTTAGAAGATTATGTTATATTAATTATTAACATTTATTAAATATTGCATGTATGCTAGATGCTATACTAAAAACTTTATTTATGTTATTGATTTCCACATTAATCCTGTGCATTCTTTATTAACCTCATTTACAAATAAGAATTAGGATAAGAGAAATTAAATATCTTGCCTGAAAGTACATAGCTAGGGAGTGGTACTATGTAGAATTACCACATGTAAGCTATGCTAACTTTTTGTACAAGTGGTATACAGTGTAAGTTAATTATCAGTATGACACCTTGACACATCTTATGTTAACTTTAACATTCACCATACCCATAAAGAAAACAATTGGGATAAAATGTCAAACAAAATCAATAGAGTATAAAATTATATATGCAATCAGATTTCAGTTATAAGATGAGGAAAAGAAAAACTACAGAAAACAGATTGAGAAGAAAGTGAGTGGTAGCACATGACTTACTTTCTTTTATCCAAAACTGTTTTTCAGATTTTATTTAATAAGAATATTAAAAAAAATCACAGCTGGGAGTGTAACTCATTGGTGGAATGCTTGTCTACCAGGCACAGGGTCCTTGGTTCAATCCGCAGAACTTAAAAAAAAAAAAAAAAAAAAAAAAAAAAAAGCTTTGATACGTAGTTTTCAAATAAAACCAAATTTCAGTACATTTTTTCTTGTAAACCAGGTATGTGGCATATGCCAAAATCCCAGCACTTGGGAGGCTTAGGCAGGGGAATTCAAGTTCACATTCAAGACCAGCCTTAGTCCACAGAGTGAATTCAAGGCCAGCTTGGACTATATAGCAAGACCCTGTCTCAAAACAACAAAAATTATTTTGTCCAGGTGTCCATTTTAATATATATCATAAAGCAAAAGACGTTATGGATTAGTACAAAATCTAGTAAGTTAGGATGTAATTGGGAACAAAAACTGAAGAAATTTTTAAAATAAGGTTTAAATTTTGTGTTATATTTCTATTTATTTATTTATTTATTTATTTTGGTTTTTTGAGACAGGGTCTCACTATCTAGCTGAGACTGGCCCGGAACTCACTACGTAGCCCAGGCTGGTCTTGAACTCACAGTGATCCTCCTGCCTCAGCCTCCCAAGTGCTGGGATTACAGGCATGTGCCACCATGCTGACTCTGTGTTATATTTCTTTTCATAGGTGAAACAAAATGTAGATTGGGAAAATACTAATTTTAATGTCTTTGTTCCTTTTACTATATAGAGGAATTTTTTTTTTTTTTGTACCGGGGATCAAATTCAGGACCTTGCTTGTACAAGGCAGGTGGCAGAACCACTGAGCTAAATCCCGGTCCCTAGAGGAATAATTTTTAAATGGCAAATAATGTGGAAATTAATGGACCAAAGTAATATAGCATTCCCATTTTGATATATAACATCTTGTTAGGTTGGGGAGCAATGCCTCTTGGACTACTTAGCATTCTTTGGTTACAGTGTATATGAGGCTATATAGTTTGATGATAGATATAGAAAAAGCATTAAACAAACTTGAGCAACATTTATGATTAAAAAGTTCCAGAAAAAAAAATAGTTCCAGAAAACTAGAAATAGATGGGAACTTCTTCAGCCTAATAAAGGGCATCTCTAAAAACCTATAGCTGCTGGACATGGTGGTGACCATCTGTAATCCTAGGTGGAAGGCTGAGACTGGAGGATCTTGAGTTTCAGGCTAGCCTGGACTACATAGCAAATTCAGGTCCAGCCAGGACTACATAGTGAAACCCTGCCTCAAAAAACAAACAAACAAACTTAAAGCGAACCTAAAAACTTGATGGCAAAAGTTTGAATGCTTTCCCCCTAAGATCAGGAAGAAAACAAGGATGCCTATCCTCACAATATCCATTCAACATATTCTGTTACAGATCCTAATTAGTGCAACAAATCAAGAAAAAAAAGACATAAAATTTAAAAATGTAGAATTAAAGTTGTTCTTCAGTTTTAGTTGTCTTTTACATAAAAAACACAATACCAAAATTACTATAACTTCTAGAGCCTTAAACAGGTAAATGGCCTGTTGGGCCAGGTATGGTGTTGCATGCCTGTGATCCCAGTACAAGGGGGGCTGAGGCAGAAGGACTGTCATGAGTTTGAAGTCAGTTTGGACTACATAGTTAGTTCAAGGCCAGTCTGAATTATGTAGCAAGATCCTGTCAATAAATAAATAAATAAATGGCTTTTCATGCTGTATCCCATTTGTCATTAGGTAAATTAAAAGTAAAACAAAGCTGGGTACAGTGGCTCTTACCTGTAGTTCTAGCTGTTTGGAAGACGGAAGCAAGAGGGTTGCTGGAGCTCAAGGCTAGACTGGACAACATAATGAGACCCCATCTCAAAACAAAGCAAAACTTAATGAGATACCCACATACTCCGTATCCTTCCACATGGCAGGAAATGAAAGATATTAATGCAGAACTGGAACTGCATGAATTCTAGTGGCATGCTTTAGGAGTGTGTAAGTTGTTTGTACCCTTGGAATAGTGAGACTGAAGATAGGCATAATCTCCATCCCACCAATTTCTTTACTAATGATACATGTCAGAAAAGTAGAACTCAAAAAAAATAAGTAGAAATCTAGGAAGCACAGACAATGTACACGGCAGCACATTTGGCAATTAAAAAAAAGTTTTGAAGGGGCTGCCTTGGCATATACAAGGCCCTGTGTTCAATCTCTGGCACACACACACCAAAATAAGGCCATAATAAATCTTGTTGGTAGATTCATACTGTTGATATTTTATTATTCTCTATAATATGTACAGTTCTAAATATAATTTCTGAATGTTGAAGAAGATCACACCCAAAATGTAGAAATAGATGAAAACAAAACAACAACTAAGAAATAAGGGATGTGAAGATAATGAATGGGAGTCAGCTATTTTGGATTTTCTCTTCAGACTATCACCCGTGCTTTCTAGGATTCCAAGCCTCTGTGATACACACTGTCCCAGACTTTTCCCTTATATTACCCAGGATCTCTTTCCTGTTAGCTACCAGCATTTGATGGGATGAGTTACCTTAGAAGATCTTCATTTGAGTTCTAGCTTTGCTGCCTGGCTTAGTGAATGGTTGTACTGGTCTAGGTAACTTAATTTCTTATCCTGTCTTCTTGACTCCTAAAAATAACCATAATATATTCTTAACTCATTAATAGGCAAATATATATATTGACTGCTTTACTCTGTACCCATCATCTATGCTAAGTACAGAGATATGTTGGTGAAGATTCCTGATTTAACAGTGATTCTCAATCTTCAGTCTTAGAATTGCCCAATGAAATTTTTTCATTTTTGGTAATGGTAGTGGGAATTAAACCCAGGGCCTTGTGCATACTAGGCAAATGTTCTACCACTAAAGTCCTTTATTAAGGGCTGGGATTTAGCTCAGTGGTTCTTCTGCCTGCCTCGCAAGCACAAGGTCCTAAGTTCAATCCCTGGTGCCAAAAAAAGGTCCTTTATTAAAAATTTTAGAATTTTGAGACAGGGTCTTGATAAGCTGTCCCTGCTGCCCTCAAACTTGCAATTCTACTGCCTCAGCCTAGTGAGTAGCTCAGATTATAGGTGTGCACCACCACTAACTAGGTCTACAGTTTATGCATCAGGCTGGGGTGCCTAATTCTGTAGCATTCCCTTCACAGATGATTCTGATATTCATGAGTGGTTGAGAATCTTTATCCTATATTTTATGTATTATGGGAGCAGGAATTATGTGTTTATATCCCTCACCATATCTCTAGGACCTGACTCACAACAGGTGCCCAGTAAGTACTTGTTGAATAAATAAGTGAAAGAGAAAATAAAAACAAAAAGCAAAACATTATCCCTGTCCTTTAAAACTAATAGTCTACCAAGGAAGGCAAAGAAATGTTACTGTACTAAAGTATGTCTTAATATGGCCTGCTCTGCCTAATGTAGATGGAATGCTTAGTCAGTACTAGTTAAATCATTATGTAATGAAGCCTAAATTCTCATCTCTCACCTTTATCACTTGTTTTCTAGTCTCAGAGAAAATAAAATTAATATAATTTGTATAGTCTTAATTTCCAGTTGCTCATAGAGCTCTTAAGAATGCTCCAGCATCACCTCAAAGTCTGCATTTCTAAATCTGACAGCTGCTATTTTTGCCTCTTTTCTCTTTTCATTCTACCTCTTTTCCAACTAATTTTTTAAACTAATTTTTATCATGGATAACTTTCTTCTGTTTGCCCAAGCAGAAGCTTTGCAGTTCTTTGATTCTTTACATGTTTTGAATTACATGATTTTTTAAAAATCCATGTATTGTACTCAAAACTTGATGGTAAATCCAAATGATTTTTTTTTTAAAGATAGGTTCTTTTTATGTAGTCCAGGCTAGTCTAACCTCACCATCCTCCTGCCTCAGTCTCTCAAATGCTGGGATTACCAGCATGCACACAACACAACCAGTTTCCTGTAATCTTCATGAGCCAGTATGGTACATGGTTAAGGACACAGACTGGTGTCAAACTGTAGAAGTTTATTTCCAGCTGTGTCATTGCTGGCTTAATGACCTCAGAAGGATTAATGTATGTCCTCATCTGTTAACACCCATAGGGTTGTTGTGAGAACCAAGTGGTTTTTGTTTGTATGTTTGTTTTTTGTTTTATTTGCTTTGTTTTGTTTTTGAGACAGGGTCTCTAGTGTAAGCTGATCTCGAACTCATTAGGATAAACTACATAAATAAAATTGCATACATAGAAGCTGGGTGTGGTGGTCCATGCCTGCAATCCCAGCACTGAGGAGGCTGAGGCAGGAGTGATGGCTTTGAACTTGTGATTCTCTTACCTCAGCTTCCTAAGTGCTGGGATTACAGGTGTGGGCCACTACATTAGGTGAAAATTACATGATTTTAAGATTTTTAAGATAACCAGTGGCTACTATATAAATGCACTGTAACTGTCAGCTTATTACTGCTAAGTATTTTTATCTCTTTAGATAAACTGTAGCACCAAGAAGACAAATACACTATGTATTTCTTTGGTATCCCCTCTTCAGTACCTATTACAGTAGAAGGCATTATAGGAAGCTCAAAATTCCTATCAGTTTTGAGAATACAGTATTTTGCTTTATGTTTAATAGTAAAACATCTGTTTTCCCTTAAAGCCTGAGAAATAATTTTAGGACTTTTTCAGAATCACATTATTGCTATCTGAAAACAAGACTAACAGAAACGTGAAGTGACAGTGAAGCAAATGGATATGTTCTTAATGAAACTTTTAGGTCTCATAACTGGAATAACTTTCAAAGGTTGATGTGCTGGATCAGTGTTTCTCAAAATTGAACAAGAATGACAGTCACTTAGAATGCTTGTAAAAATACAGATACCCAGGCCCTAATCCAGATTTCCTAAATAAGAGTGTCTAAGAAAGAAGATTTTTTTTTTTCCTTTCCTTTTACTTCCATTTTAAAACCTTGGATGATTTTTATAAAAAACAGTTTCAGATAACACTGGTCTGGATGATATACTTTCTTTTGAAGGTTTTCAACTAGATTTCTGTAGGCAAAATATTTTAATCTAGCTATTCATATTTCTTTGCCCTATTTCTAAAACACTTCAGGCCTGAGGACTTGCGCCGTGAATTTGGTCGATATGGCCCTATAGTAGACGTTTACATTCCACTTGACTTCTACACTCGCCGCCCAAGAGGATTTGCTTATGTTCAATATCCTTTATTTTGTGTGCATGTTAATGTACTGTATACATGTGCATATATATATATGTTTTCAGGAGCATATGTTATAAGATTAACATTGCCTAACTGTGTTTATTTCTTTATCTCAGAAAATCTAAAGCAGTCCACAGTAGCTGGCAAGCACCCCCCAGTTTGAACCAACCTTTTAGCTAGAATTCAAGCATAAACCAAGCAGGCAAGACAAAAGGCACCTAAAGTTCAACCATCAAGGAGTAAAGAGGGAGGGTGGACACAGATATAAAGACCTGGAAGAGGGGAAGGAAGTCTTTATCAAGCAAAAAGACAAAGCCAACTTTGAGACTTCGGCTTTCCTACATTTACTCAGAGTTCCAGAGTCAAAGCCAAGTCTGATTTTGTTGGTTCTGCATCTCTTATAAAGTCCATCTTGCAAGTCTTAAAGAGTAAAGGTCAAGGTTCAAGATCAAGTGACATTGAGGTAATTGCCAGTCTCATTTTATATTGCATTTCTTGAGCTTGTTTGCTACATTTTAAAAACTAGTTAATAACTTACTGAAATATAGTTATTTTATCCTTTACATAGCTATTATCCATTATACAAGGATTAAAATATTATATAATTTATATAGCTAAGGGAGGTGAGTGGGTTATTTCAAACCAATATATGCAATTGCATGTGTTTGCAGATTGCTTTTGTTTCTTTTCTACTTATATCCCTAATAGTAAAAATATAAAGGATTGTTCAAATGATAGTTTCAAGAATACATAAGATTTCTGAAGGATTAAATCAGTTTGTTTTTTAGTAGGAAAAATTTAAAATTAAAGAGTATGAAAAAGATAGCTTCTATCTAAGAGAGACAGGAGGATGGGAAAGTAGATTGCCCCTTAAATCAGTTTTTATAAGCTTGTCTGTATGCAATTTTGTTTTGTTTTGAAACAGAGTTTTGCTGTGTAGTTCAGGCTGGCCTCAAACTCACTACATTCCTCCTGCCTCAGCCTCCTCAGTACTGGGATTGCAGGCATGCACCACCACACCCAGATTCTATGTATGCAATTTTATTTATGTAGTTTACCCTAAATGTCACAATTATAAATCCTTTTAATAAAAAAGTAATTTTAATTTCAGAGTAAAGGATTCTACAGGCTGGTATTTGCAGAGAAAAACTTGATGGATCCATTTTATGGAAAAAAGCCAGGCATGGTGGTGTAGGCCTGTAATCCCAGCACTCTAGGAGACTGAGGTGGGAAGATCACACATTCAAGCCCAGCCTGGGCAATTTAGCAATTTATTGAGATCCCATCTCAAAATACAGTATACAAAAGGGCTCTGAATGTAGCTCAGTGAGAAGACCCTGAGTTCAGTCCCTAGTACAATTTAAAAAAAAAAGCTGAGGATTTGGCTCAGTGGTTCCACTGCCTGCCTAGCAAGCACAAGGTCCCCAGTACCAAAAAAAAAAAAAAAAAAAAAAAAAAAAAAAAA